CATGGGGGTGTCCGGGATTTCTATAACCCCTCCCCGGGGGTGGCGGGGAGAGGCCTCAAACCCTCCCGGGGTCGCTCTGGCAAGCGCTGTAGGAATGGTGGGGGCCACCCCAGGCCCCCCCACGCTGGAAGGCTTGCCCCAAGGAATGAAGAAACCCCCCCGGGATGAAGGGCCGGGGCTGGGGGGGTCCCTGTGCCCCCAGGTCCCAGCTCTCCCCTGGGACTGAAGCCCTCAGAGACTCCTCTGGTGGTGAACGAGGGGACAAAGCCTTTGCGGTGGGGTTTAGGAGAACCAATTACACAGAATTAGATAATTACGATGACAAGGGGGGAGTGGGGGACACAACCCCCCCAGGACAGCACCCAGAGTGAGGGGTGACAAGGGAACAGCCAGGGAGCAAGGCCTTGGCACCACGGTGTCACCTCAACCTGTCCCAAGGAGCATGAACCAGCCTGGGCACGGCCCCACGTGGCCACTTTCCAGTGGGATTTCATCCCCCAGAGACTCTTGTTTGGGGACTGAAGGGGTTTGGCTGAGGTAATTACACAGAATTAGGCTAATTATGATGACAAGGGAGGAATGGGGGACACAAACCCCACAGGACGGCACCGTGGAACCCACCTCCTCCTTCCCGGCAGCTTCCTACATCCCTCTGGGATCACCGAATGGGAACCTGCAATGGGAGAGGGACAGAACGGCATCAGTGGGGCTGGAGGAGGTGGCACCCGGTTCCCCCCCCACCCCTGAGCCTCCCCATCTCCCCTGGGACATGGGGGTGTCCGGGATTTCTATAACCCCTCCCCGGGGGTGGCGGGGAGAGGCCTCAAACCCTACCAGGGCTGCTCTGGCAAGCGCTGTAGGAATGGTGGGGGCCACCCCAGGCCCCCCCACGCTGGAAGGCTTGCCCCAAGGGGGCTGAAGAAACCCCCTTGGGATGAAGGGCCGGGGCTGGGGGGTCCCCGTGTCCAGCCGTGCCCCCAGGTGTCACCTCTCCCCTGGGACTGAAGCCCTCAGAGACTCCTCTGGTGGTGAACGAGCGGACAAAGCCTTTACAGTGGGGTTTAGGAGAACCAATTAGACAGAATTAAGTTAATTACGATGACAAGGGGGGAGTGTGGGGCACAACCCCCCCAGGACGGCACCGTGGAACCCACCTCCTCCTTCCCAGCAGCCTCCTACATCCCTCTGGGATCATGAAGTGGGAACCTGCAATGGGAGAGGGACAGAACGGCATCAGTGGGGCTGGAGGAGGCACCACCCGGTTCCCCCCCCACCCCTGAGCCCCCCCATCTCCCCTGGGACACGGGGGTGTCCGGGATTTCTATAACCCCTCCCCGGGGGTGGCGGGGAGAGGCCTCAAACCCTCCCGGGGTTGCTCTGGCAAGTGCTGTAGGAATGGTGGGGGCCACCCCAGGCCCCCCCACGCTGGAAGGCTTGCGCCAAGGAATGAAGAAATCCCCCCGGGATGAAGGGCCGGGGCTGTGACTTGTGGTGCCACCAGCTCCCAGGGTCTCCACACCAGGAGAAGCCTCACCGGCTCCGTTCCGGTGTCCTGCGACCCCGAGAAGGGACAATCAGAGTGAGGGGTGACAAGGGAACAGCCAGGGAGCAAGGCCTTGGCACCACGGTGTCACCTCAACGTGTCCCACACCAGCAGGAGCAGAAACCAGCCTGGGCACGGCCCCACGTGGCAACTCTCCGGTGGGATTTCATCCCCCAGAGACGCTTGTTTGGGGACTGAAGGGGGAATTGGGGACTTTGGCTGAGCTAATTACAGAGAATTAGGCTAATTATGATGACAAGGGAGGAATGGGGGACACAAACCCCACAGGACAGCACCGTGGAACCCACCTCCTCCTTCCCGGCAGCTTCCTACATCCCTCTGGGATCAGCGGAGCCGGAGCCTGCAACAGGAGAGGGGGCATCAGTGGGGCTGGAGGAGGTACCAGCCGGCTCCCCCCGACCCCTCGTCGCCCCTGGGACACGGGGGTGTCCGGGATTTCTATAACCCCTCCCCGGGGGTGGCGGGGAGAGGCCTCAAACCCTCCCGGGGCTGCTCTGGCAAGCGCTGTAGGAATGGCGGGGGCCACCCCAGGCCCCCCCACGCTGGAAGGCTTGCGGAGAGGGGGACACAAACCCCACAGGACAGCACCGTGGAACCCACCTCCTCCTTCCCGGCAGCTTCCTACATCCCTCTGGGATCAGCGGAGCCGGAGCCTGCAACAGGAGAGGGGGCATCAGTGGGGCTGGAGGAGGCACCAGCCGGCTCCCCCCGACCCCTCGTCGCCCCTGGGACACGGGGGTGTCCGGGATTTCTATAACCCCTCCCCGGGGGTGGCGGGGAGAGGCCTCAAACCCTCCCGGGGCTGCTCTGGCAAGCGCTGTAGGAATGGCGGGGGCCACCCCAGGCCCCCCCACGCTGGAAGGCTTGCGGAGAAGGGGGTGGACACGCAGCCCCCACCCCCGACCCGGTGATTCCCGGTCCCTGCGGGGACGCTCCCCCTTCCCCCGGCCCCGTGGCCCCCCCCCGGTGCCCGCGGGGAAGGCCCCAGGCGCGGCCTGAGGCGGACTACCCTTCCCAGCATGCACCGCGTCCCTCAGCACCTCACGCTGGCGGCGGGGCCCGATGAGAGGCGCAACGCCTCACCCCGCGCTGTCCCCGCTCCCCTCCCGGTCCCT